GCATAACGACGACTTCGGTAAGACACAGTTGACCATTCATCAACTGCAGTGGCTAAGTAGAAAAGTACGATGCGAACACATACAAATGGTGTGGAACGTTATGCAGGAAACTGCTACGGATTTTGGATTTTGATGAGGATCTTTTGAATCTGTGAAGCTTGATTTGACACTAATTATTTAAATAAATATCAATATTTACAAATGTTTCAATTTAAGGCCAGTGATATGATGACTTGCAAACTTCGTCCAGAACTTGCACAACGGTCACATTGGAAAGAAGTACTGTAGGGCAGTTTAGAAAAATGAATTGCCCATCTTCCCATCTGGCACATAATTAGACATGTTGTACGGTAATGGTAACATTGAAAAAAAATACGCCTATCATGCGATGATTACCCATGTCGTCTGCGACGCGGAAGCAATCGGCAAGGGTGGTCAGCCAGTTGACGATGTGACCATTGGCATAGGTGATCAAGCCCTGGCCGAACTGGTGCTGGCCGTCGACACAAAAGTTGAGAATGCCGCGAACAGAGTTTTCGGTCAATAGCGTCTCCTCGTCCAGATGCACAATCCAGTCGTCGTCGCGCAACACGTTCACCTCGTCCTCAAGGCAGTACTGCAGCGCTCGTGCTTTGAACATCGCCCGTGACTTCGTCTCGTACGACGCTGGCACAACGATCTCGCGCAGGCGACTATTCCGAGGTAAGTGCAACGCCTTGTCAGTCACAACGTCGACCATAAAGTGCTCCATGCCGACCCTGAAGCATGTGTCGATGTTCTTGGCCAAGTTGTCTGCGATCAGCTGAGGGTAATTGCCCTTGGTGACAACGCGAATGCAGACGAACGGCGCAAACAGGGTCGAATTTTTCAACGGCACCCGCTCGACGAACGCGTTGTACATCGTGAGACCCAGCGTGTTAAACACGCACTGTGGCAGTACCAACAGACCAGCGAACCTGAGCATCAAAAGTAGTACTGTAACAACCAAGCCATAGGTACGGAACGGGTCAAAGGAGGGCGACTGACGGTAAAAGGCGAACGTGAACAGTTCGAAGCCGGCCAGGAATGC